TTAGATTCAATTGTTCATAGATATCCACTTACTGCCATTATGTATCCATAGGGATGTACAGTATGGTACAAGAAACAGAGTATCCAAAGAAGTTAGACACATGACCCATGGACGTGAACAGTGGCGTGGGGACTGTCTGAGGGAGTGGGGGGTGCTGGGTGCAGGGGGCAAAGGGGAAAAAATCAGGACAACTCTAATAGCATAATCAATAAAATATAATTTAAAAGGAAAAAAAACCATTTGCTGTGCATTGCCCATCTATTTTTTTAATTTAGTCCACAGTCATTTTTAAAGGTATATTATCTACCTATAAACACATTAATTTAAAACATAAAAATGTCTCTCTATTCATTGACTGTATAGTATATGCATTGGTTAAAAGTGACTAACAGTAGATATTAAATTTAACATTTTGTTATATATTCTATTACAATTATAAGACCAAATATATGCACCAGATTCATATTTATGCAGTGTGATATACAATTTTTAAATTTAAGTGTTGTTGGATAACATAGTTTTTAAAGGTATACAATGTTTATAATTGTGATTAAATGGCACATGCACAACCTTTTAGAAAACACATAATATAAAAATAATTCATTTTCATCATAGCTTATTAAGACATTATTAAGAAAAACATCATTTTGTATAACAAAAGTCATAATATGAAAACTAAAAGAGACCCTCTGTAATTAGCTGTTCTTTGGAATCAACCTAGCACACAGCTAGTTGATTGTTCAAGGAGATGGGAGGAAAGGGGTGGGGACTCGGAAGTGATTCTTATTGCCAAAATTTATTTTTATTGCCTTTATTCTACCTCATCATTAACAATAGAAATGTATATACTGTTTTAAAAAGGAAAATATACTTGGATGCCTAAAAAGTAACAGAATATGTTCATATAATCACTATTTCACTGAATTGTTAATATGTCAAATTATAAAATTCAAATTTATCCTAAAATATTTTAAAGTTCAATAATATACTTAGATTAGAATGAACCAAAGCCAGCTATCTATGTAAAATATAAAATAAAATAACTTATGTTTGACAACAAATACATTTAAGGCCCACATTTGCTGCATTTTTAAAATTATAAACTTGTTTTTGAAATTTAACATTTTGTTATATATGCTATATATATATATATGATATATATTTGTTATAATTATAATACCAGATATATGCACCAGGTTCATATTTATGCAATGTGATATACAATTTCTTAGAAAACAGTTACATAAAAATTTGTTAGATAATTTAATTTATATGTGAATTGATACTGCAATAAAATTTTATTGCATTTTACAATACAAAGTAACAAATAAAATATGTTTTGTCTACTTAACTAAAGAATAAATTCAATGAAATCATATAACCCCTTTATCTGCAAAATAATTGATATTTTCATGTTTAAATGTCTACATTGGTACCAAGTAAGCATAGACACAAACTATCAGGACTTAAAAAAATACATATTTGATTTCTCAAATTAAATGTTATAAAATACAACTCTTGATACTTGTATTTCTTTCTTTTCAACCTATACTGTAAACTAATATCACAGCTAAACCCACCTTTATACATTCCTACATATCAATTTACAAATGTTTTGAAGAAATACCAATTTATTATTGCCCATGATTTCCATGATAGATTTGAACCATAACTGACAGACAGCTCACAGGTAATGGGAAGAAGGTAAGGGCAGGAATAGCCATGCTTCCAGATGCTAACACATGAAATGTTATAAGAAGAACCGTGAGAACCTATTAGTGAGCACTGTGGCATGGCACGATTTCACAAAGCTTTAAGAAGACAGTCTGTTCATAAGAGAGTCTGTACATAGTAAAAGTGTGCTTCCATTGTGGAATATTGCATATCCCAATGTTGAGCCACAGCTTCTCACTTTGGCTTTCTTATGTAGTTCTAATTCCTTCTGTAATTAGCTGTTCTTTGGAATCAACCTAGCACACAGCTAGTTGATTGTTCAAGGAGATGGGAGGAAAGGGAGATGGGAGAACACTCGGGAAGTGATTCAGAGCCTGTATTGCCAAAAATTGTACACTGTGCCTGTTATGCTTTTCCATGCTGACCTGTGCCCAATTAGATGGAACCTGAATTTTTTTTCTTTAAAAAATGGATTTCTGTCTCAAGTCCCTTGACTCCTACTACTGCTAATAAAGAATTCTCAGTCAGCAATGTGCAGAGTAGGGAATCCAGGGATAATGGAGCTGGGCGGCTTTTACATGCAAAACAAAACACCAAAGAAAGGGAATAAAAAGGCTTACAAACAATGCAAGCTCTCCCAGAAGGCTTATCCACATTTTTCTCCCTTTAAAATGTACCACAAATAAAGCTGAATCAACCGCAATCATAACGATGCAAACTTTTGATTATTATGGCAAATGATACCTTCGTGTTTCAGGAGAGGGCAAAAAAAGTTTTGTGGTTCGTCTAAAGGAGCCGGGAGTGAGAGCCAAGGCCACTGACATTTGTGGTGGCAGATTAAGCTGTGAGCAGACTCTAAATAAATCCCATTCTCCCTCATCCCAAAATACACTCTTCTGGCTTTTAAGACTGACTTGCATTCTACGCATGCCAGTACACTATCCATTCAGGAGCACTTATTTCCTGGGAGACAGGGAGGGCAGTCTTCTGAACTGGGAAGTCATCACAGACCAGTTGTGTTTGTGTGTAACAGATGCTAACTATGAGTGATTACAGTCTCTGCTTCACATTTAAATGAATCATACATACATTTTGTAAAATCATCAAAATCTTCTTAAGCAAAAAAAAAAAACGAATGTCTGTTCATTTCATTTTTGAACCAGTAATTAGTCTTTCTGTCACCTCAAATACCTACAAGATCACCTCCGAGGAACAGCAAATAAGGTTGGCAAAGACATATACCGAAATCAGCCAAACCAAACTTTTCAAAAATATATAAGTTGATATAAGAATAAAAAGTCTACATTATCTTGTGAACTCTGATTTTCCTAATGCTTTTTTAGAAAAATGTATTCCATTTGGAGTAGAAATAAGAATATATAAATTACAAGATCTTTACAGAAAACATAAAGCAAATAAGTTGTAATAATGCTAAGAAAACCATAATGACTTTAAAATAGAATTACAAAAAATAAAATAATTAAGGAAAGTAAACCAAATATCTTTAAAACTATTGAAAATCTATTACAAATTCTGTATTATTGCCCAAACTGATTTTATTATAACATAGGAAAAAACTCATAATCTCATTTCAAACTTAATTTTAATAAAACTGTAGCCTTCACTACAAACAATTTTGTGAATTAAAAATAATTAAGAACTACTGTATGGAGGAAATAGTCTTTGATAAATCAGTAAAATTCGTTTCTCCCACATTTAATAATATTCTTATTTATATGTATGTCTTATACTTTCCACTCACAAATCAAGATAATGTTTTCAAGCTCAATAGGTCCAATAGCTCATAAATTAGGTCCAAATTTACTAGAACTCATAAATAATGTAAGTACATATTGAGGGGCATGGTGCCCTATGAGAGACACTGTCCTTCCTCAGTTTCAGGTCGTGTGTCTTGAGGGCAAAACCCCACCCACCCCAACCAGTCACATCAGCCAAATCAACAATGGCAGTTAAGCACAAGGAAGACAAAACTCCTTCAAATTCAATGAAGTGCCCTGAAATACATCACATGCCATCCAGTGACAGCGAGGCAGAGAAGACAGGGAGAGGCAGGCCAAGGAGCAAGCCTGGTAAGAGATGTAAATATTATGGGCAAAATCTGCTTAGATATCATTTACATACTATTCACAGAATCAGATTGAAGTTGAACCACGTATTAGAATATTGTCTCTGACACTATGACATATCTGATATAAACTATGATTGTATTAAGAATCTTGACAGTTTTCCCTTTCTGCTCTGGTTTATGAGGGGCAAGATTGCAAATACTGTTTTCTCCAAAAAACAATAATGAATTAAAACAACAATTAGGGTGCTACCCCAGCTTCACTGGACTGGGTATACATCACAGAGGATGTAGACATTATGAAGAAAAGTAAGAATATTGAACTTCACTAGCTCCATGGTTCAAATTATACCTTTCCATGTTAAGGGTACAAAGACGCTTTAAAGGGGAGCATGTAGCCCTGGCTGGCGTAGCTCAGCGGATTGAGTGCGGGCCTGTGAACCAGACAATCGCGGTTCGATTCCCAGTCAAGGCACATACCGGGGTTGCAGGCCGGTTCCCTGCAGGCCAGTTCCCAGCAGGGGATGCATGAAAGGCAACCATACATTGATGTTTCTCTCCCTCTCTCCTTCCCTTCCCCTCTAAAGATAAATAAAATCTTTAAAAAAAAAAGGGGGGGGGAGCATGGAGAAGACAGATTCAATCAGAGAGGTCTCCAGCCACCACGCCCACCCTGTTGAGCATACAAAAGTGTCATTTTGCAAAGGTGTAAATGATAGATTGCTGTTTATATTTCCAGGTGATCATTTCATTAATGATACATTTGTTATCACAATCATGAGAATGTACAGGCATATACCTTAAAACACTTAATGCCACTTTAGCATTAATATTGAAACTGCTTATAATTTTCTTTCCTGCTTCCAACTCTATGGATTCAGTCACATGATTAAGAAAGGACACATGTCCATTTATTAAATGGATTTCAACCATTCCCTCCAAACGATTTTATGAAAGTTATAAAATCTTTCAGCAGTATATTGTTTTTATTGAAAATGATCAATTATAGTTGTATAAATTAATCTGCAGTTGATAAATGGTGTCTGTAATGACCTAAATTGCATACCCTATATATTTACATGTTTACGCACTAATCTAAAGTGACTATGTTTGGAGATAGGCCTCTGAGGAAGTAATTAAGGTTAAACAAGGTCATAGAGTGGGCCGTAATCAAAGAGGATGTGTTTCTTAACTGGAAGAGGAAGCGACACTGGAGATTTCTCAGTCTTGTGCACACAGAAGAGGCCATTTGTGGGCACGGAGAGATGGCAGTCATTTACAGGACTTGGAGAGCCTCAGAATAAACCCTGTCTTGCTGGTACCTTGATCTTGGACTTCCAGCCTCCAGAACTGTAAGAAAGTTCATTTCTGTTGTCATTTTGTTACGGCAGCCCTAGCAGACTAATGCTATCTCGGTAAGTCTTACTTTTTGTTTTATAGTGATTTAGCTACATAAGGCTGAGGAAATCATTCAATTTCTCTGAACCTCAGATTCTTTATTTGTAAAACGAGAGGCATGGGCAAGATCAGGGATGCGAAATGTAAGACCCATGTGCCTCCTCGCTTTGTCCTCCTCTGTCTGAGGTAGACACACTATTCCAAGTAACTGTAACTAACTAATAGGAACTGTGGGGCTTTTTAAGTTAAAAAAATCATAAATGTACATTTATTCAGGAAATACAATTACTAGCATCTTTGATATTTTAATAACCATTCTGGTCATTAGATATTCACAACATGTATTCCTTTAACTCTACACCAAGCCGCGCTGATGTTCTTTACAAGTTTTAAAAAGGCAGGGGAGTCGAGAGATGACAGACTTTAAAAGTGTCCATTTAAACTCCTGATAAATTTCATTGATGAAAAGGGAAAGGTAGACTATGGTCTTAGGTAAAGCCTGTTCACCACATTGGAGCTGGAGGATAAGACCTATGGAAGCAGCCGTATTTCATGTCCCTCCTCCTTGCAGCACTGCGCGTGCACCAGCAACATCAGCAGCAGCTGGAAGCTAATGAGAAATGCAGCATCTCAGCCCTTACACCTTCTGAATCAGATGTCTCTTTAACAATATCCGCAGTGCATGCTAACATTTGATGAATACTACCCTAAGATTTGGAAGTTTGTAAAAGGAAGGTTGCAAAAACTAGCAGCAACCATCTAAATGTGGCCCACTTTATTTATGTTTTTTTGGTTGGGCTTCTAAACAGTTTAAAATTCTCATCCAAAAGCTTTCGTTTTCAACTCGTAACATAATTTGTGAAAATTAAAGGTAGCAAGAGTTTGTATAAAGATAAGAATTTGTTAATGAATTGGAAGCTTCCGTAAACACGGGCCAACATTTCCGCTGCTATCAACTGGAGCGGGTAGCATCCCCTCTTCTGGAAGGACACTCCCCTGCCCCCGTGACAGGCCTCAGCAGTCCTTGACATTGACTTATTTATCGACCTGGCCCTGCCACACATTTGACTTTGTAATCTCTGTCCTTTACAGTCCCTTCTCTTCCACCTACCATCGAAGGAAAAAATTTTAAAAAGAAATATTTAACAGTAAGAGATTTAAAAATATATAAGTATCCGCCCAGAATTAATATTCTCATTGATAATTTTTAATTTTAATGTTTCAATATTAATTTGCTTTGATTTAAACCTTAACAATACTTCCTTTAATGAAAATATGTGCAGGGTGGTCAGCATTTAATTGTTTTAATCCATTAATAATACATTGTTTAAATTTCTATCGGTCTGAGAGTAAATTTTTTTCTTGAAAGAAATATACTCATTTAGATTGCCATTTTCTTCCTATCTTAAAAATATCTCATCTTGAAATATTTTTAAGAACTGACCAAAGACTAATTCAGAGGATGATAGGGAACTAGATTGGGGAATGCCAAAAATCTAGTTATGGGAACTGTCTTTGGTAGCTACTTGGAAATAAAGGGAATGAAGCATAATATAATGCCTCAAAGACATTTTGACAAAATAAAAAAAAAATGATACATTCTTAGCTTCATAAAATACCTTGGGCCTTGAATTTAAAACTTTCAGGGATCATGATTTTTGTTGGAATTAATGAAAAATTAAGAAAATATGTAACACACTGGTAATATTATTCCCATTTTGACTTCCCATTACATTAGAAGTTTTATCTTCCTACCCTCAAACCCCAAATGTTATTAATATTTTAATGCTCAGAATCATGAAAGCCATTTACATTTCTATTAAAAAACATAACCCTTGGGTGCTGGTTGCATTAAATATTGCATGTATTCACATAGTTTCAACCATAATGTCAATAACGAGAACTCTTTATCGTCAATTCTACCGATCCATGTTCTCATCCTTCACCTTTTATCAAATACCAAAAAATTAATAAATTTAAGTCACCCAAACTCTTATCTACTACCTTACTTTATTTCCTTCACATAACCATTTTTTCTTAACTGACTTTTGATGCAACTAACAAGCACTATAATTTTAGAAATCACATGGTGACTAGCTGAATATAACTACATAGAGGGGTGAAACATGTCACCGCATTCCCAGATTTTCAATGAAAGCTCATTTCAGGGAAACCTCTGGGTTCCCCTGCCCAACCACAGTGGGAATGAGGACCCTTGCTTTTCCTCCTCTTCCTCATTCTGCTGGGAATATGTCTCTGCCCATCCTGTCACCTACCACATTCAGATTCATCTTTACATGCCAGTAACATCATGCCGTCCTGCTGGGGCATCACTAATACTTCCTTCACTACTTTAGAAAAAACAAATCTAAAATTCTTTTGTAGTGTAAGTTCTTCAAAATCTGACTATCCTCTTCCTAGCTACCTGAACATGTTCTCTGCTCTATGCAATCCAGTTAGTACTTTATCATCGCCAAGACTTGCAAATGCTCAAAACTGGGGGGTTTCTTACATATTCATTTTCCATCTCCTCCACTCTGATTTTCTTCTAATTCATTTTAAATTAAATCCATATGTATTTATTACCATTACGTGCCATCTTTTAATACCCAATACAGTTCTATTGTTCATTAAGTCTTTTCTGATTGTATCAGCACTCACTCATCTGTGATCATTGTGATGGGTAATTTCAATAGCCAACCCACTTGGACTGATTACTGTTGCCACACGGCCAGTTCAACAATTTACATACCTCACTTCTTTAGCTCCTCTCCACCCGTCTGTGAGGTCAGTATTATAATTCCCATTCCATAAGTGAAGCTCAGAGCTCTCATAACACTTAGCCCAAACTACAGAAGTTACTGCTAGCTCTATACTGCTTTCTGTAGGTCACTAGCACTTAGTTACCCCAGTTAGATGCTAAGTGCTTTGAAGACAGACAACATGGCTTATTTTCCTGTGTCTCTGTAAGTACTGAACAACCGTGCTGAACAACTAAAAGGCCATCAATAAAATTTAGTTGATGAATAAATGAAATGCCCCAGGCTATACCTTCAGGTAGCCCAGGTCATGCAAGTGATATTACCACCATAAAAAGTCTTACTTTGACCTAAGAGGCTCAATATCATCATTCCACTTCAATGAAAAATAGAAAAATGCACTTATGTTAGCTAGGCAAGAAAACAGTTTGTGTGAACACCAGGAAAATTGAAGATTAGAAGCAAGGATCTTTTACTATGAATATTTTTCTAAGTTATGAAGTAATAGAGATAGTACTCAAATATTTTAAATTTGTATTACATTTTCTCACTTTTCAACTTTAAAAGAGGATTATTGGCAAGGACAACAACACCCAGACCTTTACTGACAATGTAGGAGAGTCTGGAGAACGTGAGACCCAGAGAGCAACAGGCCAAGTTCAAACCGGATCCCCCACCAACCAGTCCTGCATCTCATGTCCCCTTTCTCCTCACCTAACAAATACTATCTTTGGTCAAAAATAGGAACCCAAAACATAAAGAATGGCTATTTTCTTCTTTTTTTTCTTTTGGTCAACAGTTTTTTATGGTCATCACAGTTTCATAGATAAATTTAATTTAAATTTATAAGCAGGTTCCCATTAAACTGCTTGACTTCATCACAAAGCAAAGTATGAAAGTATAGCACAGTTGACTTGATTAAAAGTGTAGGACCTCTACTGACATAAAGCAAAGAACCTCATGATGACCTTGAATCCTATGGGAATCTCAAGTTTTCTTTGTGTGGCTTGGAAGGCCTTCCATGGTTTGCTAACTGACTACATCTCTGCCCTTCAGTATAGCTATGCCCAGCTATTGCACTTCTTTTTACACCACATCTTATTTCCTAATGCCATGATATCCTACATGCTCCTCTCTTGCCTGTAATGGCTTCTTTACCCAATCATCTCCTGAGACAAGTTTAACACTATACTGAATACAAAACAAAAACAAAAAATCAGTAATTGATATTGAAAGTATCAGAAGAAACCTCCAAAGTTAAGTCTATGAAACAACATGTTTTGTACTTGATAATTAAAATGATATGAGTACAATGATAACTGATGATGAAAACACTAAATAATTTTATCAATTGGTTAGACTCTCTGCTGAAAGTGCTATGTATTTTCTCTAATATAACACCAAACATAAACCCAGCATGAAGATATATCATCTACATTTTAGAGGTTGGGAAACAAAAGTAGAGAATTTAAGTAACTAGTCTAATATTATACCTAGTGAAGGCAACATCCACTACCCATTGAGAACTCAGTTACACCTAACTCAACGCTATAGTGTAAGGAGAGCACCAGTCCAAATAATATACTACTCTAACGCCTTTTGTTTAATTATTACTCATATTATGGTAATGACTCTTTCAAGGAAACATCTTAAATTTTTTGTAGTCAATGAAACTTGTGGTAAATCCACAATAATAATGAGTAATAGTTCTCACCACTTTGTGCTCTTACTTACTCAAAGGTGATGGTGATTCCAGGATTTTTACAAAATCTATAACAGCTTGCAAGCAAAGGAAACTAAAATGAAAGTACTAAGAATAATTATTTATCAGTTTGAATAATTTTAAAAGCTAAAAAGTCACCAAATAAGAGAGGAATTGACATTGTTCTACTTTTAATATAAGGTGGTTGAAAGCTGGTAAAGTCAACTGATATATATAAAAATAACATGAATTGGTTTAAATATGTGTAATTACTACAAATACAGATGCTTATGAAAAATAAGGCCCTTATGCTTTTTTATTTTCTAATCTTTAGGAAAAAGAATGATAAGCCTGTATTACATTATATATCTGGCTAAGCCAATTCTACGACTTCACAGAGACTCCAGCCTGTGCAGGAAGTCTGTTGTAGGTATTAACAATCTCTGTCTAAAACATCCTCCTTAGTCTAATGCATCTCTCCGATTGTCTTTGTGGCTCCATGATTAGCACATCTCCAAAGTTTTTACAATATTAACTGAATAGAGTATGGCGATACAATGTACATTTAGACTAACACATATTGTATACTGGATAAAAATTAGTTTATTTTCTATTATTACAAATGTATTAGCTAACAATTCATAAAGTGCTGTGCATAAATGCAGTAATACGTATGATTGTTTATGATATTATGACATGTATTCCATATTTAAAATAAAGATTTTTGTTTTATGTTAAAATAAATAATTAAGGTATTCTCAAATACTGTAACATATTCATTACAAAAACCCTGGTTTTCTTTTCTAATTTTGGACATTTATAACATATTTATAGTAAGTAAAATAAAAATTCACATTCATTTACCATTCAGAATCAGGAATGAAGTGTTCAATTTTTGGTAAATTCACTGTTGAAAGCCTCAAAGCTTAGCTGACACTTTTTATCAAAACCTTTTATTTGAGCGACTTTTCCTTGTTTCCCCAGCTTAAAAACATCCTCAAAGGGAAACATTTTTACCAATGTGGAAGAGGTGAAACAAAAAATGGCAGAAGCACTAAAAGATACCAAAATTGAAGAGTTCAAAAACTGGTTTGAGCAGTGGAACAAAGATCTCAAGAGATGCATTTCATCAAAGGGAGAGTACTATGAAGGTGACTGAAGTTTAAACATGTAAAAATAAACACACACTTTCTTAGAAATAAATTCTGGGGTTTTGGAGTGCCACCTCATAATTGTTACATAGTATTCATTCTTACAATTGCAAAAATGCATTTGGGTACTATAGAGATTGATGACACTTGTTTTTCATTAGGCATCAGATTGAGTGCATTGTGCTTTTTGTTTATTGTAATTATACATGTATAATACTCTCAAAGTTAAAAAGAAGTACATTCTCCATTTCATAACACAAAATCATATATTGGATGATCAGAACTAAATCAATATGGATTTTCTAGAGCAAAGACTATGGGCAGGAGATATTGCGTTTCTTTTTTTGTGGCCATTGTTTTGTTAAAAATGATTATTTTTCTATAGTTCAAAAAATAATCTCAATAGCATTCCTACTGAAAAAATGTGATAGTTGTATATGTTCCTACATCAAATAAAATGAAAAGTTCCAATTAATTATTGCTTTCTCATTTGCTGTTTAAAATGCAGATGAGCTCAAAGCACTGACTATATTTCAAGGGAAAAGTAACTCAAATCACTCTAAAATAATAAAAATAATTGTACCAAACCAGACTCCTATAAAAGAAAGTGTGTTAGTTCTAAAGGTTAGGGAGAAGGTCAAAGGGGTAAGTTCAGAAGATGTATTTGCACTTTAAATGATTCAGGAACCATTTCCACGGAGACACTTTTCACTCTCCATTGGAGGTGTGCATAGAGGTGATGTGAACATCATCGTTCTCATCCATACCAGGGCTACAAGATAATTTCATGTGGTTAATTTTGCTTCAGTGCTTGGAAAACCATACACAAACTAAGTAAATCTATTAAATATACACGTGCAAGTTGAAGAAGACAGTGATTTTCCATGTTTTCTCTCCCAACCTAAACAGCAGAGGGGTAGTTAACTTTCCAAGTAATGTGGCATATCTCCAAATGCCACCAAATCACCCACCTTTAAGTGAAATTGGGCTGTCTGTTAAACAGCCATGTCCCCAATTGCTTCATTAAACCTACTCATACTACAATCACATTATGACAAAAAATAAAATAAAATAAAATAAAATAAAAATCAGACTCTCAAAAACACCCAGTTAAGCTGTCTAGGCATGGCCTAAAATTCAAGTAATAAAGCTAAGCTTACCAAAGAAAACAAAGTCATAAATACATTGAGAAAGTTGGTGGTTGCCAGGGGCTGGGGTTGGATGAAATGGGGAAAGTAGGTGAAAAGGCACAAACTCCCAGTTACAAAATATGTAAGTCCTGGAAAATGTGATATGCAGCCTGGTGAGTACAATTAATAATATTATATTGCATATTTGAAAGTTGCTAAGATAGATCTTAAAAGTTCTCATCACAAGAAAAAAAATGTAATTCTATGTTAACCTGATTTACTGTGGTGAACATTTTGCAATATGAACACATATCAAATCATTCTGTCATACAACTAAAACTAATACAATGTCACATGTCATTTATGTCTCAATAAAATAATAAAGGAAAGAAAAAAAGAAATAAACTGCTCTATAAATGTATCATATACTCATAGGTAACCAACCCTTAACCAGTCAAAGCTCATTAGTTTTAAATAACTTTTTGATATTTTAATAAAGTATATTCTACTACCCAGAACTATGCTAATTTTGTTCTACACGTTACCATTTTTCTTTGTTTATTTAATATTAAAAATTAAGTTTCCCATAGCAGGTCAGCACCTGCGTCACTGTGCCACACATTCCCTCCCACCGTGGCACATGAACCAGCAGCAATAGTTTCACATGGGGACTTGTTAGACACACAGAATTTCAGACCCCAGACCAGACCTACTGAATCAGAATCTGCAGTTCATAAGATTATACAGAGACATATATACCTATGCATATATATGTATGTATGTGCACCTAATAAAACTATAAAGCCATTTTCATATACCATTCGTAACTAAGTATATATTTTCCTGCAACATTACAACCTTGCAATAGATCCATGTGAAATATACAATTCTATATACAATATGTACATATATGACAATTATACAGATTAAAAAGTAACAGTGAGTACAAAGCACTTCTTTAGCTATTATGTTATCTAAGAAAATTCCTTCTACATTTACTGTAAGGGCTGAAGTGCATTTTACACTGCCCAAGGAATGGTGTTTAAAACCATAGTTACAGGTAAATGCAGACGACTATACTTGAACAACAATAAAATATTTTTGTAAAAAAGAATTTCCATAATGTGATCACCAGAAGAAAAAAGAAAAAACATACTTACAGTGTGAACATCCCAGACAGCACTCAGCACAGTTGCTTTGCCTGCTGTCATTGCTTAATTGATATTGGTTCAATTAATTGTTTTGGTTTTATCTGCAAGTTTTCCTAAATGTTGCCTGCTCCTGACTGAGTACTATTCATTTTTCCAATATCCGTAAGTTGACTTTTAGAAAAAAAGACATCCCCAAATTTATGACAATGCACTACTTTCTTGCCCCAGTGGCTACTAACTCTTAATGAATACAGAAGCTGTTTTTTTATCTTCCCTCAAGCGAAACATCGTAAAAAGTAAGAGAGAGCAATTGTGACCCTATCTGGGGAAGTTTATGAGACTGACAGAGGACAGATTGAGTTACTACGTTATTGTAACACTTCATCAAAATTCTTGTCCAGGTTTCAAGCAGTGACTTAAGGCAAGTGAATTGGCCTATAAGTGCTGGGATCACTTCCAGCAACTTACCCAGGACACAAAATTACCCTCTTCAGTTAACCCCAGTTATTTCTCTGTCCTTGTTGTAGTGGAGAGAGTACGTAGGGAAAGGGGTCCTGGTCGTCTAGGACAGGGAGGCAAAGGGCTGAGACATCTCCACTGCTCTGCTTCCAAAGAGATGACTCTTGAAATGACTGTGACATTGCATTAGCAGGGAGACTAACAAGGAGGTCATGTCCAAGGACTTCATTTAATTTTCTTTTATCAGCTTGAAGCCATTGAAGAGCTATATTTTAACTTTAGAACTATTTCAATAGAGCAGTGAATATGTAACAACAAATTATCCATATTTAAGAGCCAAATGACAATAATTTGTGCAGGTATATAGACATAATTATGGAATCCATTTTCACCATTCATTTTCACCTAAAGTCAGTTTTCTAAAGGTAATAAAAACCAGTATGGATTTTCCTAAGAAAACATCTGGCACTTAAATTTCAGGAGTGACTTTCAATATGAGTGACTTTTCAATATGTTGTAAAAGCAAAGAAAGAATCTAATTATTGTTCTTAAATCCATTTTTGTAGATGAAACCAAGACAAATATGTGTGTATTTATATATATACACATACTTGCATATATATTTATATATACTTGTATATATTATATATTACAAATATATAATATATACAAGTATACTATAAGATACTCCATAATATATTATTTTTCAAAGGGAGAGAAAAAACGTTTATATAACTTCACTCTTTATGTTTATGACAGAAAAATATGTGTGTATTTATATAGATACACATACTTGCATATATACTTATATATACTTGTATATATAATATACTTGTAATATGTTATATATAGAACTATACTATAAGATACTCCATAATATATTATTTTTCAAAGAGAAAGAAAAATGTTTATGTAACTTCACTCTTCATGTTTTGACAGAAAAATTCAACAATGTTTGCAAACAGAGAGGTTACAGTTTAGTGCAAACAAAAAGCCTTAAGTAAATTAATTCAACTCTGATTGATCAGCGGATGGCAAGTTAACTGTGAAAAACTGCAAACGATGGCAGTAAAAAAGCTTTTCTGCAAAAATATACTTTAGCATATCGAAGACATACATATATCTATTAGGCTTAATTCTGTGTTTGAAATAAATACCAGTTAGGATGGGATGTTTGGTAAAGATACTCACATATGTAGCATACCACGTTTTGACCAAGGCTGCATAGAAAGAAATAGGTGGGCAAAGACACTGAATGAATTCTCAGTCATGGACAAATCAGGTTTTATTTTCTAAATAAACTATGAAAACTCTGTTTTCAATCTATATGAGTCACCACCAATCCAAAGATTAAAACAAACCCACACCCAATAGCCATTATCTATACAAATGAAGCAACTCTCTTCTTCATATAAAATGAAAGTGAGTTCTTTTCAGTTACTATGCTCGTGAAATAATGTTGAGAAGTTAAATTCTGGCTATTCTTTTGGGTGTTTTTTTTTTCATAAGTCTGGTTGCTATCAATATTAAAATTGTAAATCACTCAATCATGAGAGAAAAAGTATTAGCAGTTTTTATTATTATTTTGTTTTTTCCAATAATCTACAATATTAGTATAAGTTCAAGTAAAAAGAATGAAAAAAAACCCCTCACTATTGTGGATGCAAGGGAAATAAAATTAACAAATAAAATTTGCAAACAAAATTTACATATTCAGAATTTTGTTTTTAAATTATCCACAACCAAGATTTAATAGGTAGTTAATAGACCAATTGCTTTATCTGCATTTTTTAAATGTTACATATGATTTTTCCCTTAAAAATAGCATTTTGCTTAATACCCTTATTTTCCCTATGTATTGAAATGTTAAGATAGACAACCAGTCACCTTCTTTGTGAATTTCCCTCTTCTTATGTCCCTCCATCCTGATCCTCAGGGTTCTTTCTGTCTCTTATCCCTTCTCATTTGATATCTTCTACTCAAGTATTTCTATCAAATTCTGTGGATTCATCTCCTAAGTAAACACCAATTTCTGTACTTCTATACTCAACCCATACATCTTTCTTAAAATTCAGATGACGTTATATGCATACTTAAAGTCCAGATCTCCTGATCTGGATGTGTCTGGATCTTTGATGTGTCTCACCTGCACATCAAATAGTTACTGATCACACATATCCTAGCATCTTTCTTCCTCCCCTTCTATAGGTTTGCGGTGGGGAATGGTGCAATGATGTACCCATACCCTTCATGCAGACATACTGGGAGCCATGCCTATCAATTAAACCTCCAATACAGATCTTGAACTCATCTCCCTTGTCCTATATGGATAAGCAGAAAGGCCTCTGCTCG